ATTGCTTGCAACATTTTTATCATCCATGGGTCATCAACCATAAGGTCTCTTCTAAGACTTGAAAAGCCTTATCTCATGTTGAAATGACTGTGAACTATTAGGAGTTAGGACTATTAAAATTCTTTTGAATAAATAACCACAAAAAATGATACGAAAGCTCACCCTCATTTGATATTGCTTTTAGCAGTATGAGAATCAAGTTGTATGATCACATATGGATCAATTGTTCCTGGAAATCACATTAAAAAAAATTGGAAAGCAATAATAGAAATAGATTTGAAAACTATTCAGTACATCAGATTTATATAAGAGAACCAACCAATGGATCCATGGCAGGGAAATTGGATCCTTTTTCCTAATTTATAGAGTTGACCATCATAAGTTTCATGAACAAATTCCTACCCAAATGAGCCCTCCAGAGACTGAGAATAATGCACACTCGTCTCCAAAATCCTCCGCGAGTTTGACCATAGACCAAAAAAATTGCCACTCTAATAAGTTAGAGGTTAGAGATGTGCAGGAGACAGTTAGGCTACAATTATTTATGTATTTTTACATGAACTTCTATTTTGGCGCAAGTTTCAGAGAGAGGAAACCAAAATTATCATATAGTATAAACAGAGATATTAGGAACCTTTGCTAAATGACATCACAATGCTCTTCTCTTTGGCTTCCATCAACCAACTCTCCAACCTGAATATATATAAATATACAGGATACATACCTTTGGTACAAGGACATCCATAGCAGTCACTATTCTTGAGTCATCATTGAGCCGCACAAGGATATTATATGAATTTATTACCCAGTCAGGTGAAATACCAGTCAATGGCTAAAACTTTAATCTTAAAAGTAATGATGTGTCGCACAGAACTAACTTCAGAAAAAACTGCCAAAGAGGGGGGAAACCACAATTAAAACATGTCATTATTTGTAACTATAGTAAAAAGAACTTACGCAACTCATCCAAGGAGGTTTTATCAACACTCTCTCCACTCTTTATGAGGCGAATTTTCCCTGAAGTGGAGAGCAACTTTTTGAACATACATATAATGCCTATATGCATGGAGACTAGTGCATCTGATGTATGAGACAATAGAAATGTATGGTTTAGTATCTACTTCAACAAATAACTTTGAAATATACTACTGAACCAATCCATAATTGTTTCCAAACATTACAGGTAAAATACATGTCAAAACCTTTCATAGATATATAATGACCATACACGGAATGAAGCAGGGGATCAATGAACCTATAAAAGTGAGAATAAGACTATAAGATGAATATCTACTTTAGAATATTAACTAATGAAGCAATCTATAGTTGTTTTTGAAGTACATGTAAAGGCACTTGTCAAATTTCTTCCATAAAAATGTATCAGTGATTAATGTCTTCCTTCTAATGACACAAACAAAATATGAACATTGCAGAGAACTCAAGTCTTATGGGACACCGTAGCAAGTATCTTAAATTCTTAATAGCTCTCAGGTAGAGCATTTGTCAAAAATTTCTCAGCAAAAATGAAAACCTAATCTAAACAAGGGGAAAACATGAATCAATTTACCTTGGCGGTGGTAACGTTTATTTTAGGGGGGAAATGATGAGCATTGCATGCCTAAGTATGATGGATTGCTTGGAGGCAATGGCTCTAGAGAATGGAATGGTGGACAGAGATCTTCGTTGACGAACGATGAAAGAAGACAATGGCGGAAATGTGAGGAAAATAAAGAACTTTTTTTGTTTAAGGAAACCTTTGGGGCTGAGAAGATGGACGAGAAAGATGAGAGTGAGATGCATAGATGTAATCGGGATTAATTAAAACGTAGAACGAGAGGTGAAGCTGTAATCAGAGTTTAATTGATCAATCTGAGGCGGTTTAATTGAACCACCATTATTAAACCGACGTGAAAAACCGGTTTTTTTGTAGTGGTAATATTAAAAATTTGAGTAAACACCCTTTTTAGTCCCTGACAATAAAAAAGGACCAAATTGATCCCTAAAATTACAAAAAAAAGGGTCATGTTAGTCCTTATGTCAACTCCCAAATATGTAGAGTGGCCCTTTTCTTGTACTTTCAGGGACCAATTTGGTCATTTTTTATTGCCAGGAACTGAAAAGGACTTCGTAGATATTGCCAGGGACTAAAAAGGGTGTTTACTCTAAAAATATTTCCCACCTTTATGCCTTCCTTACTCAGGAATGCCTATTTAACTCTGATATGACTTGAGGTAAAATATCTTTAGTATTATTGTACTACCCATCACATAGTACTATTTCCACGTAGAATAATATCGGTGGATTATGCTCAAAAGTTATTGATTTAGTGAACATCTCGGTAAACCTCATAATTTGATTTGTCTGTTTAAAGGAAATTAAGTGGATTTATTTTTTTAAAGTTGTAATTTTTTAGATGGGTTGACTCAAACTTAAAATTAGATTAGACAAACCTTTAGGACTTCAAACATCGAATGATATTTTAAAAAAAATACATGAATTTTTTAATTTATGTTAATGGGCATTATAAATTTAATAAAAAATAAAATTTATAATATCAATTAGAATAAATGACATGAAATAATAATCCATGTGTTCTGTTGTGAATGGAAATAGTATTTTCTTTTTTTTTTGGTGGGGAATGGATATAGTATTTGACTGTACGTTACTATTAAAGATATTCTTGACTTAAGGATATTATTGACATAACCTACTCAGTGTAAGTTTGAATTATAAATTATAAAATATGTTTTGAGATCAATAAAAAAGGATTTTTTTTAACTCAAATTACAATTTAAAATTAAATTTTGCCAATTATGTAAGTTAGTATAAATATCGAGAATGGATCATTCAATATGTTATTTAATATGATTATGTTATGTGAGATAATTTTAGTTATTTATAAATAAATCAACAATTTTCTTTTTGTCATTCTCTATTTTAATATTTTCTTATCTCTCATCTTTTGTCATTGTTAATTTGTTTATAAATAATTAAAATTATCTCACATAACCTCACGTTGAATTACACGTGGGAAGATTCATTCTCATAAATATTACACTTCATTTGCATTGTTTATGACAATAAACAAAAATGGATCCTTTTATATGACATAAAATCCTGTGATATAATTCCAAATATAAATAAATTAACAGTGGTTTTAATAACATTGGTTTTTACCATGTGATAGCTAACTCATTCCAAATTTATTTAACATTGCGAGTTGTTATTTGTCGTTATTACGAAACTCAATATTCACATTCCACATTATGACAATTCTCCAATTCATTTTAATTGTAACCGTAACGGCCTAATCACACCTCCTGCGCTTTCTATGAAAAAATTGCTGCACTCTTTTTTTTTTGAGGTTACAAGAAATTAAACACAACACCCAACACTATACACATTCCTAACACACACCCCACACCACTAGACTAACCCTAGTGTTTGATTAGTGCACTCTCTAACTTATCCACATTCAATATAAATCCCTACATAGCGAATTAATAATAAATTGTTATGTTGTTATTGTTATTTATATGTTGAGATTCATTTTCATTAATAAGAAATTTTCTTTGAGCTCTAATTAGAGGACCTGAGTATTTATGGGCCGGATGAAATTCCTCTAAAGATGGTTTACAACTCTTTCGTAAGTCTTCATGTTCTTACAAAATACAATGGGTAATACTTTTCTTATGTTACATAAGAAAAGTACTATCTCCTACTCAAACAATAAATAGGAGAGAGAAAAGAGTTGGAAGTGAGAGAGAACAATTCTCGTGGGACCTATTTGAAAAATGTGAGTGTAGGAGATAATACTTTTCTTGTGTAACATATGAAAAGTATTACCCAAATACAATTTGTATAATCGGATTTAAGTATCTTACGATACTTAATCCATTGTACTTTTGACTGGTTTTGCATCTAACTGCGACACGACTTGGACCAATAACTCTGGATTTGGATAGTTATTTTTTCATTTCTTTTCTTCTCCCTTCCCGTTAGGCGCATTAATAAGCTAGGAGAGGAACCAAAGGCAGTGATTGTTGGCATGTCTCAGATGATGACTCTTGTTGGTGTGGTGCAGAGAAAGCCAATGGAGATCCAAGGGAGCTGTTCTGGTGGGGGTGTAGGGCAGCGCCTCCCGGATCGTGGAGGCTTAGTACTGCTTAGGATTTATAATCATATTTATATTCTCTTATGTAAGCTAATCATATTTATATTCTTTTTGTAAAGTTGAGTGACTGACTTATAATGAATGTAGCTGAATAAAATATAATGCATATTGTTGGACGGAACTCACATTGAGTGAATCAAGTAAATTGTTGTCTCACTTTTCTTCCCTTCTCAATTCGCGATCGCGGTCGTGTGTGTGGGATTGAGTCAATTCCAATATTAGAAGCGGATTGGATTCGAGTTAGTCTGATGTTTGGCTAGAGGGTACTTGAGCCCTTAGATACCATTGAAGGGGAGCATATCAACAGTAAATTTCATATTTGAGAATAAGATTGTTGAATAATTCAAATCTGATAAATCTTACATTGATTAATAACAGGTTTAAATGAAGTGTGGGAGGACCACATAGCCTCTTAAAATTTTGAATTGAGATATAATGTTGGATCCTCGTTGTTCTGTGAGTTTGTCGCTCAACCCCCTAATTGGGCTCTCTCTGCCGTTGCCCAACAGTGCTGTTTCGTTTTGGAATAGAGAGAGTCCAACACGAATCAACGACCTTTGAAATGTCATTGTCGTGAAACATGTGATTATGATTCGTTTCGTATGTGTCGGAAATTAGCAATTTGGAACATGACTTATCGAATAACCGACAATGTTTCTATTAGCATGCTCTTATTCCGGCAATAAGTATTCAAGTAATGGACCCTACTTAAGCTGAGTTCTATAACAATGGTTCTACAGGATGAAGCAAGCAGAGAAACATTGATCCTTTGTGAGTATTTTCTCATAACATTTCATTACACCCTTACCCTATAGCTCAGACAAACATGGTGTCCCTTCTTTTATTTCGGTGGATTCTCATAATGCTTTTCTGTTCACTTTTAAGGCTTTCTTACTTTCAAGCTTCTGGCATTTGCACGTTTACTTCTATTCCCTTTGCTGCAACTACAACTACAGCTACAATTGGTTATGAAGACCAAAACAGCGAAGCAAGTGCTCTATTAAAGTGGAAAGCCAGCCTTGAAAACCAAAGCCAAGCTTCCTTGTCCTCTTGGACCACCATAACTGCCACTCCTTGCAACTGGGAAGGAATTGTTTGTGACGAATCCAAGTTTGTCACCACTATAAATGTTACAAATTCTGGACTTAAAGGTACTCTTCTTGGTCTCAACTTCTCATCCTTTCCCAAGTTGATGTGTCTGGATATAAGTCACAACTCGTTTCATGGAACTATTCCCCACCAAATTGGTAATTTGTCTAGAATTTCTCAACTGAAAATGGATCATAATCTCTTCTGTGGTATCATCCCCCTAGAAATAGGAGCACTGAGATATCTAAGTCATCTTGATATTGGAAGGTGTAAGCTCAATGGGTCAATCCCTATTTCCATAGTGAAGTTGGCCAACTTGTCATATCTAGATTTAGCTGGCAATCAACTTTCTGGCTGTATTCCTCAGGAGATTGGGGAATCACGTAACTTGAAGTATCTGTCTTTACGAGCAAATGGACTTTCTGGTTCCATTCCTCCAACAATTGGAATGTTGACAAATCTCGTTAAACTTGATTTGTCAACTAACTCTCTCTCTGGTGCAATTCCTTCAATGAGAAACTTGAGAAATTTAGAACAACTTGTACTCTTTAACAACCGTCTCTCTGGTCATATTCCTAAGGAGTTAGGAAGACTCTATTCTCTCACAACAATCAAATTGTTGAACAATCATTTGTCTGGGCCAATCCCATCTTCCATTGGAGACTTGGCCAATTTGAGTAAGCTTCAGCTCACTGGTAATAAACTTGATGGATCAATTCCTTCCGCACTTGGAAACTTGACAAAACTTATCCAATTGTCCTTGTCAGAAAACAAGCTTTCTGGATCAATTCCTGCTTCCTTAGGAAACTTGGTCAATCTAGAGCGGCTTAGCCTTTCAGAAAACAATCTTTCTGGACCTATTCCTTCTACCTTTGGAAATTTGACAAAACTCACCCACCTATTACTTCATATGAACAACCTTAACGGTTGTCTCCCGCCAACAATGAATAAGGTCACTAATTTGAAAAGCTTACAACTAAGTGCCAATGATTTCACTGGCCCTTTGCCACAACAGATTTGCCTTGGTGGGTCGCTGACAAATTTTTCTGCTGATAAGAATCATTTCACCGGTCCAGTTCCAATAAGCTTGAAGAATTGCTCCAGCCTTTTTAGGCTCAACCTTGCGAGAAACATGTTGACTGGAAATATATCCGATGATTTTGGTGTATATCCAAAGTTGAACTACATTGATCTGAGTGATAATCATTTTTATGGCAAACTTTCACCAAATTGGGCAAAGTGCCCTAGTCTCACAAGCCTTAAGATTTCCAACAACAATTTATCCGGTGGAATACCACCAGAACTCGGCCAGGCTCCCAAGTTAGAATTACTTAATCTGTCTTCAAATCATCTAACAGGGAAAATTCCAAAAGAACTATGTAACTTGACCTCATTGTTTCAACTCTCGTTAAGTAATAATGAGCTTTCAGGCAACATTCCCATAGAAATAGGATCTATGGTGAAACTTGAACTTTTGGAGTTGGCAGCAAATAATTTAAGTTGCCCAATCCCAAAAGAGCTCGGACAGTTGCTCATTTTATTGAATTTGAATTTGAGCAAGAATAAATTCGTGGAAAGCATTCCATCTGAACTTGGGCAACTGCAATCTCTTAAAAGTCTCGATCTCAGTGTGAATTCGTTGAATGGACAAATACCAGCTACGTTTGGAAAGTTGCAAAGATTGGAAACGTTGAACCTCTCACACAATAATCTCTCTGGAACAATTCCATCTGATTTTAAGGATATGTTCAGCTTGACATATGTTGACATATCTAACAACCAATTGGAGGGTCCAATTCCTAACAATCCAGCATTTTCCAAAGCTCCAATTGAAGCATTGGAAAATAATAAAGGCTTGTGTGGTAATGCCTCCGGCTTGGTGCCTTGCCGAGAGTTGCGTCACAACCTATTGGTACTATTCCTTATTCTGGGTGCTCTATTGGTAGTAGTGTTGGTGGTTGGAGTTTCATTATGTATTCATTGTCTAAGAGCAAGAAAAATCAAAATGCAGGCTGGAGAAGAACAAATTCAAGATCTTTTTTCCATATGGAATTATGATGGAAAATTAGTACATGAAAATATCATTGAAGCCACAGAGGAGTTTGATGACAAATATCTCATTGGAGAAGGAGGATCTGGAGCTGTTTACAAGGCTATCTTATCCACAGGACAGGTTGTTGCTGTGAAAAAACTTCATGCTGCAGCAGTAGATGGGGAAATGCTTGATTTTAAAGCTTTTGCAACTGAAGTTCGAGTCTTAACAGAAATCAGACATCGTAACATTGTGAAGTTGTATGGATTTTGTTCACATCCACGCTACTCTTTTTTGGTTTATGAGTTCCTGGAAGGGGGCAGCTTGGATAAAGTACTAAAAAATGATACACATGCAACAATGTTTGATTGGAATAGGAGGGTGAATGTTGTTAAAGGGATGGCAAATGCTCTATACCATATGCATCACGGTTGCTCCCCTCCTATAGTTCATCGTGACATATCAAGCAAGAATGTTCTTTTAGATTTGGAATATGAAGCTCGCATCTCTGACTTTGGAACAGCTAAGATTCTGAATCCTGATTCACGCAATTTATCCTCGTTTGCAGGAACCTATGGGTATGCTGCACCAGGTTAGACCCTTCTTCTTTCGGTTCTTGCGAAATGCTACACTTGTTTCAATGGTAAACTCTTCTACTTCATGCATGGATATTATTTTCATATTTTATTCTATTGCAGAGCTTGCTTATATTACGGCAGTGAATGAGAAATGTGATGTCTTTAGTTTTGGAGTGCTTTCTTTGGAAATAATCATGGGGAAGCATCCAGGAGATCTCATATCTTCATTGTTTTCATCCTCTGAAATGTCAGTAGCCTCTCATTTGCTATTGAAAGATGTGCTGGATCAACGACTTCCACATCCAATGAAGCCAGTTGTTAAGGAGGTGATCTTGATTGCAAAAATAGCATTTGCTTGCTTGAGTGAAAGTCCACATTCTCGCCCAACCATGGAAGAAGTGCATAACATGTTTGTGATGTCAAAACTACCTTTAATGGAGACATTCCGCATCATCACACTTGGACAACTTCTAAATTATTGAACTTGGTTTTCTTTTATGTTGTAAGCTTTTTCTTCTGTTTGCTGCTACTTTTGTGTCGTAAGCCTGTTTGGTTTTGTTGTCTTTATCAGGTGATCTTGGCCTCTAAAATGACCGAATAAAATAAAGCTGAATGGCTTGAGTGTTTTAGGAAAACTTGGAATCCCTCCATTTTCTTTTCTCTTTCTTAATGTGTACATTGTAAAATTGTGATGTGACTGTACTGTTATGTTTATTCTCTCCCTCAATTTACATTTAACACAACCATAGAATTTTTCTGGTTGATTATATCCAAACAGTACTACAGTGTTATTTAAAATGCTTCCCTGATTCCAATATATGAATTGAATGCAACTGTAGTACTGTTTGGATGAAATTCATTGTCTTTCATCTCTTTTTTATTCTCAACGGATGGAAGATACTATCTCATGCTTACCCCAAAAAATTATTAGACCAGAATTTAGTAGTCATGTCAGAACTTAATAAAGGAAAGGAAAAGGACTACATTTCGAATTTATTTCACCATCTATTGAATATACCACTAGCAAATTGGGTACTCGGAGAGAGCTATGTAATAAATTCACTGAATTCAATTGTTGTGACATGTACAGCTAGAAACATAACTCATTACGCATTGGTAAGTAGCAATTATTGCTTCTACAGAGCATGGGTCCAAATGGCTTCACAATCCCCTGTTGGACCAAGGTTTACATGTGGTCCACAAAAAATATTGGTTGATGGTGAAGGAAGAAATAGCATTTGTTAGTCATGACTCATGAATTCTAGAATGTGCAACTCCAAGAAAATCTGATCTACCCTGCTTCTCATCTTCATCAAGATCAAGTAGGTGGGAAGAATCTGTTGAGATTGAATGGCAAAGTATAGAATTCTTCGTTTCTATTATCTCCTCTAAACGTTCTAAACTTCACCCACCATGGCATCCCTCGATCTTTCTTGGACCTTTCTACCTCAAGAGTGTTGTCAAGCAACACCGCTACTATCAAACCCACTGTTGCTGGTGATGAGAATATGGTATTTAAGAATGCATTGAACTGCAAATATGAAAAATTGGCATTAAGAGCAAACTACTAGAAAGCAAAATGATGGTGAACTCATAGCTATGATGTTGATAAGTTTAAGAAGAGGCTACATATTTAGGCTGAACCAAAGTAAAATACAAGTCTAGAAAAATGAAAATGATAGCAAGAGATTGTTGATAAAGCACAAGTATTGTAAGGTCCCCAAGGTTTTGAGTAAGATAATATAGCTGACTGAGGAAAACTCACCCATCCAGCATTAGTATGAACAAGGCCATGTCGTGAAGGAGTCCAATATTGATTGAAAAGTTGAGGAACGGATATCCCAAGGAACAAAGTAAGTCCGGTGATAATAAGATTTCTCATAGAGTTCATGTTTGTGAACTGGAGAAATGATATTCCAACTGAAGCTGACGAACAAGAAAAAGTAGTTGTGAATACAGGAACAAGACTCAAGTATGGCAATGAAATCTCTCTTGAGATGCTACTACATACCCACAAGGCCAAAGAGAATGCAGTAAAGCGCAGCAAATATTGGGAAGGGTATAGACGCAAACACAGCTCCAAACTTTCCTGCAGATGGTGGAATAAAAAGAAAACAGAAAACCTCAGGAAAGTGGAACTGTCTTTCCTTTTTTCATTACCAATTGTCATCATAAAAATTAAAACAACTTTAATTAATTAGGTGTTCAGGAACTGGATTGCTTTTAGCGTAGTCTAGGCTCATGTTTGAATTGTCAACACCAACCTAAAGTAGAGAAGAATATCATAAAACCAGCAGAGATCTGAACGACTCTGCGACTTCCAACTCGGGTTAGTCCAAGGAGTCCCACATTTTCCCTAGAATAAACAGCCATGATGCTCATCAAGCTACTATTGAAAGATATGTCATATACAAGAAGACACTAGCAGTTTTTATCCCTGAAAAAAAATAAAAATAAAATTTGAAGCAACTTGCAGTTAAAACTCAATGAAGAGTAGGACTTACACAGAAACAGTGGAACCCGTTCCTGTGCCAAAAAGACCATCAAGCAATACTCCAATCCCCTGTACAAAATAAACAAGATCAGCTCAAGCTCTCAGTTACATCAACTTTTCAATAATATTATTATTACTATGCATATTGGATGAACAGGTAAAAGCTCGTCTAGTGTCTAGTCATAAGATTGAAAACTTTCAATTTAATGCACATGCATAACCTAAGGCTATGTGTGGATCAATGGAAAAGGATGGACTGAAGCAAAATGAAAATGAAATGACATTACTTGCTGTTGTTTGGATTGTTTAAAATAAGATGGAATAAAAAAGAACCTGATGGAATGTATTTCATTCCATCCAATATCTTTATTTTTCTTCATCCAATATCTTTCTTTATCCATAATAAAATAGTCATAAATCTTACCATTTCGTCTACTTCCTAAACAATGAAATGGAAACTTTGATAAAATATCCAAGGAATGGTATAGTAATTTTATTCCATTTCATGCCACTCTATTTCATTCCATCCATTTCCACTATATTTTGATAGTAATAACTGACTTGTGCCAAGTAACTAACCTGCCAACCAATGCCTCGACTCAACACATAAGCAGGAGGTGGAGTGGCAATCGCTAACCGAGACGCTGCCTTGTATGCAGCAGTTGACTGCAACAAGAAGTGCATGGTCAGCACATTGTTGAAAATTCCCCAAAATACTAAGAGAGACTATTTTGGTTATTGTAAATACTCTTTGAAATTAATACTCTGTTTCTTTATCATCAGAATTCCATTTACCTTGCCAAAATAATGGGAGCAGCTAAAAAATAAAAAACAAAATCAGGGATGAAAATAGATACCTCCACCATCGAGACAACAACTGCTGACATCATAGCAAATGAATGGCCTGCAGAAAACGTAGGTGGACCCCATTGGAGAGGGTATGGGAACATGAACCTATTACAATGAAACAAAACCTTAGAACTCGGCAGAACTTCGGAACATATCAGAAGAAATTAAAATAGATTCTTTGATGTACCATGGAGCAGTAGATATCAGATTTGCTCTGTCTGTACGACAATTATTTTGTGTTCTGACAGGTTTATGTCGGTAAGCTCCACTGGCAGTCAAGATAATAGAATAGATCCAAACAATTGGGACACAAATCAACACAGGAAAACGTTCAAAGATAGGGATATCTCTAAATGGTCTCACATGCTTTAGATACTGCAATTTATACCAAAATTAGTTTCTCTTAGTGAAAGAAATAATACTATATTGATGCACAACACGATATTCTAGTTGTACTAAAGAACTTACTTGTGACAACCCGATTACCAACAACAGCATTGGTATACCAATTTCTACACAGTTTCCCAACTGAAAAAGAATATAATAAAGACAATTGTTTAAACTTATGAAGGTAGTGCGGGAAGTATGGTATCCATCAAGCTATATTGAGCATGGTAAATTAAAGGATTTGGCTAAAATAGAAAATGCCATCAATGTCTGCATGTAAATAGAGCATTCTGCCACTATCAAACAATTCGGAAATATAGTGAAATAAAGGATTTTGCTAAAGAAAATGCTACCAATGACTGCATGCAAGTTAAGTATTATGCCACTATAAAATAATTCAGAAAAATAGCTGAGCATGGTGAATTAAAGGATTTTGCTAAAGAAAATGCCATCGATGTCTGTGAAAATTAAGCATTATGCCACTATCAAATAATTCAGAAAGACAGAAACTAGACAAAGCCCTTTGATGCATAGAAATTAAAAGCAAGGATCAAAATTCAGCATTGAAAATTAAAGTCACTTAAATAGGTGACAACCTTAGATATTGGACTCAAAATATGTTCCTGAAATAGTGTTGTTTATCATCATCATTGAGAATAAGCTTTCTTTTAGATGATGATATGGTAGTCACATAAATTACTATCATTAGGAGACTACTTTGTAAATTTTTTTACTACAAAGTACATGATAGAGATTTGAGCCACACCTACCACAGGAAATCCGCGTTGAAATAATCCTAATCCAACCAATCCAACTACAGGAGCCATACCAAGAGGACTGAAAAATCTGGAGGGAAGATCCATAAAAAGCAATGCTAGAATTTTTTTTCTTTGAATCATTTTCAATTCACAAACATGTCACATGCAACTAGTATACCTTGAAAATAGTCCCCAGACTTGGCTGTAACCCAGGATTATCTGAATACTCGAGGCTACAATTAGAGCTCCTTGTATTGCTCGCATTGTTTGTATAAATCTCTGCAAACAATCACATGGCAATATCTCTTTCAATACCCTAACAAATAAGAAATTAATTTAAGCATATTCTTTTAAAAAAAATTGTATAACTATGCTGATCCACCAAATTACTTTAGTTTGCCAGTGTCATCTAATTCAAAATCAAGCCCAGTATTCAGTGGGAGTTTAATTTTAAATCATGAATGATAGTAAATACTCGGTTTAGTCCCTATCGTTTCATCAAGTTTTTAATCAAGTCCCTGCAGTTGAAAAGTTTTTAACCAAGTCCTTATAATTCTAAAATTTGCAACTAAGTCCCTAGAGGCTAACACGTTTAACTTCCGTTCAGTAATGTAGATGCGGCATCCCACTCAAGGGAAGGATGTCTAATGATGTGGCAATTACTTATGATTGTATGTTCATTTCATCAGCCATATCACACATAAAAAGCCAATGTGCAATGCATATTATTTTCTTTCTCAATTTTTCCCTAGCACATAAATTTGACCCCATTTGCCAATTTTCATCCATCAACCTTCCTTTCTATTATTCATCTCTCTCAATATCTATATTTTATAGAATTGAGGACTATTAGAGTAGCATTAATTTGTTAGGATCCTGATTGTAACTATCACGGTTTGTTACCTTGTATATTAAAATAGATTAGCTTGATTTATGCTTTCTGTTCCTTAGTTTTAGCTGATTTCCTGATGTAAATAGATTAGCTTGATTTATG